GAGGCGGGGGCGGGGCTTTCGAGGTTTTTGGGGCGGCCCGTGAGGCTGGTGGGTTTGGGGTTTGGGGGTGGGGGGCAGCGCCAGGGGAGGGTGTCGGCTCCTGGAGTGCGGGCGCGCCGGGGCGCTGCGTGCGACCTTGTGTGCGCGTGCATGTGTATGTGCGCGTGCATGGATGTGCGGGCCCACTTTGGGGGGCAGGGTGGGACCGGCCGGCCCTGACTGCGTTTCGGCAAGCCGACCGACAGATCACATGGGACGGCCCCGAGCCCAGAGGACCACTCATCGGGTTTTAGGACAACCAGCTGCCCCGACGCCCGGCCCCGCTGGGCAACACTGCAGGTCCGCTACATTGGTGGCGGCGGCGCGGCGGGCGGCAACGCGGCGGCGGCGGCGGCGCCGACGGTGCGGCCGACGGATTCCGAGTTTTGCAGTGGCGAGGTGGCGTTCCCAGGTGGGGGCGCGCGTGGCCTGGGGGGTCTAGAAGCTTGAGCGAGGTGGGGTTTAGGGGCTGCCTGTGTCATTTTTGGCGGTTTCAGCGGCCTCGACGAGGCCCCAACAGCGCGAGCCGCCCACGGCGCCCGGCGCCCGCCCTCAAGAAGGTCCGCCCCGCCCGCCCTACCACCACCCACTGAATCCGCCCCTCCCTCTGCCCTTGCAAACTCCCGGGACCCCGGAAAACCTCGAACAAACGGCGTGTCCAAATCAACAATTGCGAACCCAAAGACGGCTTCCCAATTCTGGTGGCGTGCGAGGAGTCACTGGCCGACCTCAACACCCGCCTGCCGGCCCCCATCCCCATGGCGCGCTTCCGCCCAAACCTGGTCGTCGCCGGCGCCGGCGGCCCCTTTGCGGAGGATGCATGGGGCCGCATCCGCGTCGGCGGCGGCGGCGACAGCGACGAGGCGGCGGCCGCGTCGGTGGGGGCGGCGGCGGGGGCGCTTGAAATGGCGGTGGTGCGGCCGTGTGATAGGTGTGCTGTGCCGTCTGTGGACCAGGAATTGGGTGTGAAGCGGGAGCCAAACCCGCTGGACACGCTGAACCGCTTCAGGTGAGTGTGGTGCGTGTGCGTGTGCGTGTGTGTGTGTGCATGCGTGTGTGCCTGTGTGCTTGTTGTGTGTGCGAGGCATTGCTGACGTGCGCATAGCTGTTTGCAAGGCGTCTGGGGAACCGGGCCAACGTGCACAGCAAGAGGCGCCTGCAGCATGCCTGGGTGGGCAGCCACGAAGTGAGGAGCGCGCGGGCACCCGCCTCCTGGACGCCCACGCCGCGTGGCGCCGTCGCCTCGAGTCCCGCCGCCCCGCTTCAAGCCTCGGCCCCACATGCTTTGCGTCGCGGCGGCGCGAGACGGCGCCCTGCCGCACTCACTTCTGGCCACCTGTGCGTTTGTCAACCAACAGGACCGGCAAGGAGCTGGGATGGGCGGCCGCCCGCAAGCGCTGGACCCACGCCAGCTTCTTCGCGACGTACTGCCAGCCGGCCGCCAGCGGCCCCGTGCGCGCGGGCGACACGGTCGGCGTGCTTGCGGCGCGCAGCTGGGCGGAGTGAGGGAGACGGGTGGACGGGGCGCTTGTCCGGGGGTCAGCGAGGGAGGCGAGGGGGGGGGGGCGCAGCAAGATAAGGTCCCTTTACGATGTTTGCGCCGGTGCTTAAATTTTGGGGGTAGGATTTTGGCAAGGGTTCTCCATGAAATTGTTGCAGCGTCTTGGGGCATACTCACATTGTTGGGAACCGCTTGTCTGTTGGTCTTGTGTGAGGGCAGGGGCCCGCAGGCCGCATTCAGATTCATTATGTTGCCGCACAGGCACGTATTTCGTTTGCATCAGCATCCTGGATGACAGGCAGCCTGTGCCATTGAGTGCGTCCATCGTGCTATTTGGCTCATCAAGACTGTAATGTGGTTGGTGCAGAGCAGCCAAGTCAGTGCCAGCGTGCAAGCTCTTGGCCATCATCGTGTGTGTGTGTGTGTGTGTGTGTGTGTAGAGAGAGAGGGGGGGGCTTGCCCAGGGTTTCCAGGCCTCCTTACACCACTTGTGCACACCCAGGTCGCTGAAAGCTCGGCAGCCAATTTCCAGTGTAGCACCACATCTTCCAAGCGCCCGTACCGTGTAGCAGCCCCCGCCGGGAGCTCTCACTGTTGCTTGGGTGGCGCAGGGCTGGCGCCGTTGCGGGCACAATCCATTGACAGCAGCGCAGAGCCGGCCGTGCGACCCCCCCCCCTTACACGCCGCTGCAAGGTTTGGACTCACTGGATGATGCCGAGCGCTGCGCCCTGCGCAGATAAGAAGAGCAACTTGCGCAGGGGCGCCCCCGCTTGAGGTGCGTCAGTGCGCCTCGAGCGGCTTAGGTTGAAATGCACACCTACAACCAGGCGAAACAGCCCTTGCCGTGGTCAGTGTGGAATCGCGGTCTCGCCGCGACGCCAACCACGTACATACGCTTGGTTTCCCCGCGCAGAGCGGCGCGGGGGCGCAACCTACGTTGCCCCCACGCGTCCGCCCCAAGGAGCTGCTCACGTCAAGTCCCCTCCCTGCATTGCCAAGCAGCATTGCTCGTGGTATGCTTTGCCTGGATAGCTTGCAGGGCCTGCCGCTTTGCTTCACTATGCTGACATTCCCGGCTGGTTGCTGCGTGTTTCATCAATGAGCTGGCCTCCCTTGTACGCATCATATTGCGCATTTACATCGTCATGCGACCGAGCGGCTGGAAATGTGATCGGTTGGGGTCAGTGCAGCCGGCGCCAATGGGATGGCTGCGGGGCGGGGGAGCCTGCGCAAACGCGCGGCGGGACGGGGCCGCGGGCCTGTGCCTGCTCTGCTCACGAGGGCAATCAGACGAAGCGCTTGGCCCCGCCCTGCAGCGGGCGGGTCCAATCTGCGGCCTGCACCGTGGCCATGCAGATTAGAACCATTCACTGTCGTGTGAATGGGGGCCTCTGGGGCCACAAATGCTTGCATTGTCAAGAGGGTTGGCAGCACACACAGCGGATGTATGTGTAGATCGTCAACTGCGCGTGCGCGTTGCCATGACCAAGATGTGTCGACAAGAATTGATCCAGGAGAAAGTCAGTCTGTATACAGAAACCAAAGCAATGCAGTGGAGCAAGCCGTCCCGCTGCCGCCACGGATAAGTCGCGCCGAACCCGCGGCCCGTCTCGCACCCACTGTTGTCATCAACTACCGACGCACAGGCACGGCGCGCGCGGCCGCGGCGGACGTCGCACCGCCGGCGGCCGCGCGCGCTGCGTGCGTCGGGTGCCCGGCCCAGGGGCGAACGTCCCCCCCTCTGGCAGAGGGCGGCGGCCGCGCCAGCCCGGCCCCCCTTCACGCGTCTGCGGGGCGCGGGTTGGCCTCGGCCCACTCGCGCGCGTTCTGGAAGAGACGCAGCCAGGGGCCGGCGCCGTAGGGGTCCAGCCCAACCTCCGGCGGGCTGTGCGGCAGCTGCCAGGCGAGGAAGCATCGCTCTGGGTGCGGCATCATCGCCAGGTGGCGGCCGTTGGCGCTGCAGAGGGCGGCGATGCCGTGGGGGGAGCCGTTGGGGTTGAAGGGGTAGCGCTCGGTCGCGGAGCCGGAGGTGTCGACGTACCTGCCGGTCGGGGGTTTTGATTTGGGCACGGGGGTCGGCGGTTCATGTGAGGAGTAGGCGGATTTGAGAAGGGATTGGCAGGGTTGTTGCGCAAACGCCATAACAAACGGGAAAGGCGCAGCAGGGTGCTTGAGAGGGTGAGAGGAATGCAGCCGTGCCTCAGCAGAAAGTAAACAACAAAGGTTGTCTTCAGGCGGCGCACCGCTCAGTTCTCAACAACGCAAATATGCGCATCAGCGGCACGAGAGCTGCGCACGCGCCAGCCTCCCTGCCGCGCACCCTCGCCCCGACACAATGGATGCAGAAACGCAGTAGCAGCAAACACACATCACCACAAGCACAACGAACCGTCCAGGCACCTCCACGCTTCACATCCCATTGTTGCATCATATCATATCATTGCTCCAACTCACCGGATGGGCGCCAGGCCGCTGTCGAGCACCCTCTTCTCCACAGCAGGGTCGGGGAACAGCGCCTGGCCCTCGCCATGCGCGCACCACACGCCGACCTTGGCGCCGCCCATGCCCGCGAGCCAAAGCGAGGGCGTGTCCTCCGAGATTGCCACCTGCACCCACCGGGACTCGAACCTGTGTCGTTGGGTTGTTATGCATGCTTGTTTAGATGCGGAAGCTGAGCGCGAGCGTGGGCGTGCGCTGGCTGGATAGAGGCAGAGGAACCAAACAGGTTATTGACGGCTCAGAGTGGCGGGGGTAAGCAAGTGGTGGTCCACACGAGCTGTGGGGGTGACATACACGATGCATGCACAAGATAATTGAGCTGGTGCGCGCCCGTAATGCAAGGGTAAGGGCAATCAACCGAGCACACGGCGCCCGCCCGTGGGCACACACACACACACACACACACACACACCTGCCGCTCTTGTTGTGGACGAAGCGCGGCTGCGCGCCGTCCGGCAGCTGCGCGCTCACGCCGCCGCTGGCGTCCCCCGTCGCGGGCACCCAGCCGAGCAGCGCCTGCAGCTGGCAGCCGTTGCAGATGCCGAGGGAGAAGGTGTCGGGGCGGTTGTAGAAGGCCTGGAACTGCTGCAGGACGCGCTCGTTGAAGCGGATGGTGCCTGGGGGGTGGGG